GATCCGGGGGTGGGGGGGGGGGTCCTGCTCTCTGCCAGTGTAGTTCCAGGCCCCCATCAGGCCGTATCTAGGGGATAACGCCTGGCGAGCCACAGGCACTAGGGTGGGGGCGTCTCCCCCGTCCGGCGCAGTGCTGGGGAGGAGGGCGGGGCTGCAGCCAGCCCCTGGCCCAGCCTCCCCCTTGCCTGGGGCATCGCCTGGCATCGGGCATGGCTGCTGGGCAGCCCTGGGCTAGGCTTCGTGTTGGGTTCACAGCTCTGTGCCCCCCTGCGAGGGGTGGGGGGCTGAGACGCTCACGGCTCTGTCTCTCCCCCCCCTCCTCCCGGAGAGTTAGTGTGATGGGGGGAGGCTCAGGGGCTCACGGCGCTCTCTCCCCCCCCGCCCCGGAGAGTTAGTGCGGGGGGGTGGGGGGCTGACGGGTTCACGGCTCTGTACCCCCAGGACCTGACCTCGGCGCTGACCCGTAAGATCACCCTGAAGACGCCGCTCATCTCGTCGCCCATGGACACCGTCACGGAGTCGGACATGGCGATCGCCATGGCGGTGAGAGCTGGGGAAGGAGCGGGAGGGGGGGGATCCAGCCCATCTGGGGCGGGGGCTCCACAGCTCTGATGTCAGTGGCCCCTAGTTCCCGTCCCCAAGCCTCTCGCTGGAGACCGGCCCCAGCCCTGAGCGTCAGGCAGCTGGGCTGGGCGCCTCGTGAGGACCCTTGCCCTGCGCTGCCCCCGCCGCGGGGCACCCCCATTGCTCCATGGGGCCGGCCGAGGCTGACCCGCTCTCTCCCCGCAGCTGATGGGCGGCATCGGGATCATCCACCACAACTGCACCCCGGAGTTCCAGGCCAACGAGGTGCGCAAGGTCAAGGCAAGTACCAGCCGCGCCCTGGGGTGACCCTGGCACCAGAGGACTGGCTCTGGTCAGACGCGGGGGCCGGCCTGCCCTGCCCCTCCTTGCCCCGCACCTCTCGGGACCCTGGTCCTTTGTGGGCCCCCGACACCAATGTGCGCTGGGTGGGTCAGTGGGGAGATTGGCGCCCCCCCGGGGAGCGTAGGGGTAGGGGGAGCACTGTGGGGTGGGGTCCCTGGAGAACTGGGTGGGTCAGTGGGGAGATTAACAAACCCCCCCAGGGAGCATAGGGAGGGTAGGCTGTGGGTTGGGGTCCCTGGAGAACTGGGTGGGTCAGTGGGGAGATTGGCGCCCCCCCCCCGGGGAGCGTAGGGTCAGGGGGGGCGCTGTGGCGTTGGCACCCAGGCGGGCGCTTGCGGAACGCTAACCCTGCTCTGTGCTGTAGGCGCCCGGCTGGTGACTCCCCCTCTCCCTCCCCTGCAGAAATTCGAGCAGGGCTTCATCACGGACCCGGTGGTGATGAGCCCCACGCACAACGTGGGAGACGTCTTCGAGGCCAAGCTGCGGCACGGCTTCTCGGGGATCCCCGTCACCGAGACGGGCAAGATGGGCAGCAAGCTGGTGGGCATCGTCACCTCGCGGGACATCGACTTCCTCACCGAGAAGGACTACGCCACCTACCTCAGCGAGGTACCGCAGGACGCTTGGGACCCTGCCCCGGCCCCCGCCTCCCCGGCGGCCCCGGCTGCGTCTCGCGCCAGCCGCCCTCCT